ACCGGGTGGGGGTCGGGGATGGGGCGACCACACCCACCAGCGCCCGCGCGCACTGCCCTCGGGATCCCCGGGCAGCCCCTCCGCTGCCACACCCACTGGGGCTTGGACACGCTCGCGCCCGGACTCACGCACGCGACGACACCCGCAGGAGGCTGGCACACCCGGCCGCCGCTCGCTGTCGGCTACCCTCGCGCCGCCCCCGGCGCCACCTCACTCTCCGCGCAGCGGCCAGCGCTTCCGGATGGTCACGTGGGCTCTCATGTGCGCGAGGCACGCTGGGAGTTGTAGTCCGTCTCTGCGACTTCACCTGTGGACTGAGAAGGTCCCCCGCCCTGATCATTATTTTTTCAAAAAGGCATTTTTCTGTTCTTTGTTTTTATTTTAAAAATTAACCGTATTTTTGGCTGAGTATGTCACGGACCTAAGCTTTAAAAGGGTTGTGCTTAATTAAATGCAGTTGCCACTATAGATAAGGGCCATTGGTCTGTCAGTATCATTCTAAGGTCTACACCCCCATAAATTAATGAGTGATAACTAGCTGGCAGCCTCCGGCAAGAATTGGAGGACCTCCAGGAAATGGCGACATGGTTTTCTCTGTTGCCATTGTTGTTGTTGGTAGTGGTGGCGCTGTTTGTTTTTGAATGGGGTTTGTTTGTTTTTTCTTTTGGGGCTCAAAGGAGGAATACAGAACGAGAAGGAGAGCCGGGCACCGGTGGCTCACGCCTGTAATCCTAATTTCAGGAGGCTGAGATCTGAGGATCACGGTAGGAAAGACCGTGAAACTCATCTCCAATAAACCACCAGAAAACGCACTGTAGCTCAAGTGGTAGAGAGCTTGCCTTGAGCTGAAGAGCTGAGGGACAGACAGCGCCCAGGCCCAGAGTTCAAGCCCCACGACCAACAAAAAAAAAAAGAAAGAGAAGGAGGAAGAGTGAACAAATGCAATCATACTACTTCGTATACACTATGTGGAAAATGACCTGTGTAACTTGTGGGCATGGATAGGAGGGGAAAACTGGGGGAAGTGAAGGAAAGGGTGACATTGTCCCAAAAAGGAATGTACTCATTACCTGACTTGTGAACTAGTAACCCCTCTGTACAGCACCTTAATAGTAACGATAAATTTTATTATAAAAAGAATTAGAGGACTTTATGAAATTCTTCTCTAAGCAGAGTGAGCTGCCCTCCTGAGCTCTCTTAGCTATAATATTTAAAGATATACACAATATCCCAAGGGCGTAATACAGTAGTAGAATGAGCTATTACAGCATCATGCAAGGTCCTAGGTTTCCTCCCCAGCACTGCAAAAAAGAGAGTGAAAAGGAGGCGGGGGACACTATACGTGTGTGCATATTATATATATATATATATATATATACATATATATATATGCCTCTCCATATAATGTTTTTACATATGTATGTGCTCACACACATTTTTTTTCTTTTCTTTTTTTTCTTTTGTCAGCCATGGGGCTGGAACTCTCAGACTGGGCACTGTCCTGAACCTCTTGACCCACAGCGCCACTTCCTGTTTTCTAGTGATTATTTGGAGATAAGAGTCTCACAGACTTTCCTACCCAGGCTGGCTTTGAACCATAATCCTCAGATCTCAACCTCCTGAGGTTTAAGGCGTGAGCCACCAGTGCCAGTAACACACATATATTTCTGAGCCAAGGAAAACATATCTACAAAGACAGAAGAGAAAGAAACAGTTTTAAGCATTAGACACAGGCAGTGGTTCATGCCTGTAATCCAAACTACTCAGGAGGCTGAGACTTGATATCATGCTTTGAAACCAGCCTAGGCAGGAAACTCCCTAAGACTCTCCAACTAACCAGAAAACAAACAAACAAAAAAGCCTGAGTGGAGCTATGTCTCAAGTGATAGAGAACAGCCATGAGGGAAAAAGCTAAGAAACATGGCCTAGCCCCTGAATTCCAGCCCCAGTACCAGCAATAAATAAATAAATGTGAAATACACCTGTGCATATATGTGTGTGTGTATATATACATATGTTTGTATATCCACAAATATGCCAGTGGATACATGGCATATCATGTCCTCCACAGTTTGTGCCTAGAGTCACTTGGTTGAGCTGCTTGGGCAGGGAGAAACATCATCTCCGGGCTGGGTTTCCATAACCAGCTGGACATTCTTCTTTTTTTTTTTTTTGCAAGTCCTGGGGTTTGAATTCAGGGCCTGGGCACTGTGTCTGAGCTTCTTTTGCTCAAGGTTAGCACTCTATCACTTGAGCCACCATGTCACTTCTGGCTTTTCTGTTTATGTAGTACTGAGGAATCGACCCCAGGGCTTCATGCATGCTAGGCAAGCACCCTACCACTAAGCCACATTCCCAGCCTCCCAGAAGGACATTCTAACCGTTGATTTGCACCTCTGGATGCTCTCTGTGCTCTCCCAGTGCTAGTTTCTGACTCAGCTGCTTAATGTCTGGAGCAGAAGAGAGAAAACATTTTGCATCTAACCTCACTGGCACCAGCACTGAAAAGGCTTATTTCCTGTGCTCCAGCCCAGGAGCTGATGATGGATCTTGACCTACGTTCTACTTCCAAGTTGCAGGCTTATAATGGTGATTCTTAAAACCATGGCCTGCAGCAATAGGTGCTAGAGATAAGAGTTTCTTAGTTTGTCTGGCAGGGCTAGCTTTGAATCTCAATCTTTATATCTAAGCCTCCTGAGTAACTAAGATGATAGGTGTGAGCTATCAGTGCCCAGCAAAGTGGAATCTTATGTAAGACAAGTTATATTTTATATGTTAACCTGGGTGGGAAGTGCGGCTAAGCATACTCAGTCCGGAGTCCTAGGTCCTAGATTGCAATAGCAATCCATTTATCAAACAATGGGTAAAAATGTTCTAGGGAAGAATAAATTGTCTTCTATCTCAGGACTCCTCAAGTGTTTTGAACTTACAACATACAGGAACAAATACTGCATTACTCCCAGTACAATTTGCACATGTACAACTCACCTAAACATTCCACAAAACAGTACCTGTTTTAAAAAAATTATTTGTGGAGCATGAACTGAAAGTCTGGGTGCTATCTCTGAGCTTTTAGTGTTCAAGGCTAGCACTCTACCACTTGAATCTACAGCTTTACTTCTCATTTTCTGGTGGTTAATTGGAGAAAAGAGTCTCATGGACTTTCCTAGTGTGGCTGGCTTTGAACTGTGATCCTCAGATCTCAGCCTTCTGAGTAGTAGGATTAACAGATGTAAGTCATCAGCACCTGGCAACAATTTTTTTTTCTTTTTCTTTTTCTTTTTTTTTTTTTTTTTTGGCCATGGGGCTTGAACTCTGGGCCTTGGCGCTGTCCCTCAGCTCTTCAGCTCAAGGCTAGCGCTCTACCACTTGAGCCACAGCTCCACTTCTGGCTTTTTTTGCTTATGTGGTGCTGAGGAATCAAACCCAGGGCCTTATGCATGCAAGGCAAGCACTCTACCACTAAGCTACCTTCCCAGCCCCAACAATTCCTTCTTATATGAAATACAGTCAGATTTTTCCCCCTAGTTCTTTTCTTAGAAAAATACTAGTTGCCATCCACTACAATTAATTTCATGATTCATTCATAGGTCTCCACCCACAGTTTGAAAACTCTGAACATATCTGTCAGGATGTTTCTGGTACCATTTTGCTTCCAGTAACACATAGTGCTGTGTAAACTATGCTACAAGTTACACCAGGTGCAAAAGAATCTAGTGGTCATGGGATAGACTCAGAGTTATATGTAATATGTAATATTACATCTATGCCACACTTTATGGGTAGAAGTAGTCAGGAAAGATCAAGTCAGCTCTTTGCCTCTATTACCAGTGTAGGGGACTAATAAACTATTTCCTTAGACTCAAAAGTTAACTTTGGCTGTAGGGTAGAATTAGTAAGTCAGCCAGAAATTATGTTCAGCTCTGTCTTCTCCTATTCATTCAAAGTCTTTCAGTGTTGTTTGTTCATTTTACCTTGTTTGATGGCTCCTTAAGAAGTTATTCAAATCCATAAAGTTAAGTCACAGATCAAATCTGGTGCCCATGGCTCACATCTGTATTCCTAGCTACACAGATCGGAGTCACTAAGATGTGAGGATCGCAGTTCAAAGCTGCCTGGGCAGAAAAAGTGTGTGAGAGTCTTTTTTTTTTTTTTTTTTTGGTCGTGGGGCTTGAACTCTGTGCTTGGGCACTATCCCTCAGCTCTTCAGCTCAAGGCAGGCGCTCTACTGCTTGAGCCACGGCACCACTTCTGGTTTTCTAGTGGTGTACTGGAGATGAGAATCTCACGGACTTTCCTGCCTAGGCTGACTTTGAACCTCAATCCTCAGATCTCAGCCTCCTGAGTAGCTAGGATTACAGGCATGAACCACCAGCGTCCGGCAAGACTCTTTTATATCTCCAATTAACCAGCAAAAAGCCAGAAGTGGAACTGTGGCTCAAGTGCTAAGGTGCCAGCCTTAAAGAGAAAAAGCCAAGGAAGAAGTTTGAGCTCATCAGTACACACACACACACACACACACACACACAAAATTATTCAGAGGATATATTGTATACATGTGTGGAAATGTAATAATGAAATCCCTGCAGGTACAACTAATGTATATGAAGGGGGGGGAGGGAGACCAAGAGAGACAAAGAGACAGAAAGGAAGGAAGGAAGGAAGGAAGGTAGGTTTTGATGCCAAGCATGGAATAGCCAGGAAAATGCAGGATGAAGGACCCACAAAAGGCCATAGAAAGGACTAGGGGTGGCTTAACGCCTTCAGGTTGAGAGCAAGGGTCTGTCCATGCTGTTGGATCTGCTGGATGAAGGATGCTGGAGGAAAGCTGGCTAGCGCCTCACGCGCAGCCCTAGGCGGCTGGGGCTCGGAGCAGGTGGGAGGAACCGGCTCGCTTTCCTTTCACTTTCTCAGGCCACCAAACCTGACACCTGGGGCCAGAACTACAGTTCCCACCACGCAGCGAGGCAGGAGGAAGAAGGGGCGCTGAGGGCTGCGAAGGAAACCAGGAGAATAAGAAAACATTTACCTGCCTGCCTGGCAAGGCCAGAGTTGGAGCCCAGGAAGCCACAGGTGAAGGAGGAGGGCGCCGGTGTGGATGTGTGATGGCGGGAGGGGAATGTTGCTGGAGGATTTGCAAGGCATGGAACCCAAAGTAGAAGGGCTTTTGTAGAAATCCTGGGGACTTACTGGGGAGAAAGCTGAGGAGAGGAGAGGAAACAAAGTCTCAGCTCAAGTTACAGTGATAAAACACCGGAAGTGGAATTAGCTTCCTTCAGTTGAGAAGTCAGACAAATTAACAACAACAACAACAAGAGTTTGGTTGTGCCTCTGGTCTGCTAGAGGATATAGCCATATGTGGCATCCAAAGCCCAGGTTGGATGTACAGATTAGATATTTGTGTGTATTTTAACTTGTGATGCTATAATGTGTGTATGGTGGTGTGTGTATGATGGTGTGTGTGTGTGTGTGTGTGTGTGTGTGTGTGTGTGTGTTTGTGCACGCGCCATTACTAGGGCTTGAACTCAGGGCCTAGGACTATCTCTTAGCTTTTTCTGCTTTGCTCAAGGCTGACACTCTACCACTTAGCCACAGCTCTACTTCCAGCCTTTTGGTGGTTAATTGGAGCTCAGAGTCTTATGGATTTTCCTGCCCAGGCTGGTTTTAACCGGAGATCCTAGGATCTCACACTCCTAGAATAGCTGGGATTATAGGCATGGCCTTTTCATTGGTATTAGAGAACACCAAAAGAGCATGTGGGGAAGTGAGGCAGGGTGCGCCAGGGCAGGGATAATTGACAGCATAGCAAGTTTCATTTTCAAATGCCATCAGGTTGCATTTACCCTCAGGAGGTATTTGATGAGGAGGCTTAAGTCAGCATCCTGTGAGAGAGAGTTTAGCATGTAAGGGATGCTCACCTTCAGGGATCAAGCCATGCACTTCTTACATCAGAAGAGCTGTCATGAGGAGTATAACTGGACACATGCTGGCTGAGTGAGGGACAACTGACAAGTAGAAAACCCAGAAAGGTCTCAATGAAGCTAAGTGCTGGTGGTTCATGCCTGCAATCCTAGCAGGTTGAGATCTGAGTTTAGTGGTTCAAAGCCAGCCCTGGTAGGAAAATCCATGAGACTCTCATCTCCAATTAACCACTGGAAAACCAGGAGCAGTGCTGTGGCTAAAAGTAGTAGAGCACTAGCCTTGAGCAAAAGAGCTCAGGGACAGTATAGTGGACCTGGGATGGGCTCTGAGAATATAAATTTTTTTTTTTTTGGGTCCGGTCGTGGGGCCTGAACTCTGGGCCTGGGCGCTGTCCCTCAGCTCTTCAGCTCAAGGCTAGCGCTCTACCACTTGGGCCACAGCACCACTTCCGGCTTTTTTCTTTTTGCTTATGTGGTGCTGAGGAATCAAACTCAGGCCTCAGGCATGCAAGGCAAGCACTCTACCACTGAGCCATCTTCCCAGCCCTCCAGCTTTTTTCTTTTTGCTTATGTGGTACTGAGGAATTGAACCCAGGGCCTCGTGCATGCAAGGCAAGCGCTCTACCACTGAGCCACCTTCCCAACCCTGAGAATATAAATGTTAAATAATCCTCCCAAGTAATTCTGGTAATCAGTTAATTTAGAAAGACATTGTCAGGCTGGGAAGGTGGCTCATTGGTAGAGTGCTTGCCTTGCATGCATGAGGCCCTGGGTTCGATTCCTCAGCACCACATAAGCAGAAAAGACCAGAAGTGGGGCTGTGGCTCAAGTGGTAGAGTGCTAGCCTTGAGCTGAAGAGCTGGGGGACAGCACCCAGGCCCGGAGTTCAGGCCCCATGACTGGCAAAAAAAAGAAAAGAAAAGAAAGACATTGTCATTAGAAATCTTTGTTACTTTTCATACTATGATAAAACTTCCTACAACGTTTTTTTCTTTGTGTCTGTGCATGTGTATATGTGCCAGTAATGGGACTTGAACTCAAGGCCTCTTGTTCTTGCTTAGCTTTTCTGCTCAAGGCTAATCACAGTTTACGAAGTTTAAGGCTAGCCTGAGCAAAAAAGTATGTGATACTGTTATCTCCAATAAACTAAAAAAAAAAACAAAACAACAACAAGAACTGGAGCTGTAGCTCAAGTGGTAGAGCACTAGCCTTGAGCACAAAAGCTCAAGGAGAGTACATAGGCCCTGAGTTCAAGCCCCACAACCAGCACAAAACAAACAAACAAAAATATCTGCCAGGCACTGGTGACTCACATCTGTAATCCTAGCTACTCAAGAGGCTGAGATCTGAGGGTCCTGGATCAAAGCCAACCTGAACAGGAAAGTCCTCAAGAACTCATCTCCAGTTAACGACCAAAAAATCACGAAGTGGCACTGTAGCTCAAAGTGGTAGAGTGCTAGCCTTGAGCAAAAGAGCTCAGGGAGACAGTGTTCAGGCCCTGAGTTCAAGCCCCATGACCACCACCAACAACAACAAAACAACAAAAATCTCATGGACTTTTCTGCCTGGGATGGCTTCAAACCATGATCCTCAGCTCTCAGCCTCCTGAGTCACTAGATTATAGGCATGAGCCACCAGTGCTTAGCTTCTGGCTTGGCATATGAATTATTCTCAAAACTCCCAATTTCCTGGTCAAGGTAAATGAGTTGCCAACTGGAATAAAAATCCCTTAAGGGCTTCCTGACAGCCCCTGTCAATGCTTGCATGTTGTCTGGGTGCTCAGGGGTCCTTCAGGTGAAATCCACATTGTCATGTCCCATACCCGCCTCATGCCATTTCCTCTGCCATCATGCTTTCTGGCTCTGGCCTAGGATTTCATCCAATGCTATCTTCTGCTAAATTGGCTGTTCACTGAGCCTGTCAGAAAATGCCAGTAGGGCTAGGCTCTGGTGCCTCATGCCTGTAATCCTAGTGACTCCAGAGGCTGAGATCGGAGGATCACAGTTAGAAGCCATGCCAGGCAGGAAAAGTCTAAGATTCTTACCTCCACTTCATCAGCCATGGAACTGTGGCTCTAGTGGTGGAGCACTAGCCTTGAGCAAAAAGAGCTCAAGGACAGGGCCTAAGCCTTGAGTTCAAGCCCTAAGATCAGGACCAATAAATAAGTAAATGCTAATAGGACCTATCTGAGGATACCAGAAAGCAATGCCAATATACTTCAGGGCAGTCATTGGCCTCTTTCCTCCATCAAGATGCTGGCACTGGAAAAGCTAGAGTCCCCCTCTGTCCTCTTCACTGGGTCTCTAGTACCTAGCAGACACTAAGGAGAACTTGGATTCTTTCCTTCCCTGTGTCTATTCTAGGAAACTAGCACCATGCCATTCTCCAGCTCAGCCAGGACTGCCGATGAGAACTTTGACTACTTGTTCAAGGTCATCCTCATTGGAGATTCCAATGTGGGAAAGACATGTGTGGTTCAGCACTTCAAATCTGGGGTCTACACAGAGACGCAGCAGAACACCATTGGGGTGGACTTCACAGTTCGCTCCCTGGAGATCGATGGCAAAAAAGTGAAGGTCAGAGGGGAGGAGGGGGCCTGCCTGTCTTTTAGCCAGAGCTTCCTACATTCCAGCCCAGGCTTATATGCATTGGGACATCCACCTTATAAGTAACACATGAACACAGCTGGACTCTGGTTGCTCATGCCTGTAATCCTAGCTACTCAGGAGGCTGAGATCTGAGGATCTCAGTCAGAAGCCAGCCTGGGGCAGGAAAGTCCATGAGACATTTCCAGTTAACCACCAGAAAAAGCCATTAGTTGGAGGTGTAGGTCAAAGTGATAGAATGCTAGGCTTGGGCAAAAAAAGCTCAGGGACAGTGCCCAGGCCCAGTTCAAGTCCTACATGCAGTAAAATCAAAGCAGTCCCATGGTATTTCTTTGAGTGGGGAGTCTTAAAAGAAGAGCCCCAAAATCTGGCTAAAGGATGACTGAGGTGAAAAAAAAAAAAAACAAAAACGCCGGTGGCTCACGCCTGTCATGCCTGTCATTCCAACTAGTCAGGAGGCTGAGATCTGAGGATCATGGTTCAAAGCCAGCCCAGGAAGTAAAGTCTGTGAGACTCTTATCTCCCATAAACCACCGGAAGTGGCGCTGTGGCTCAAGTGTAGAGCGCTCGCCTTGAGCTGAAGAGCGCAGGGACAGCGCCCAGGCCCAGAGTTCAAGCCCCATGAAAAAAAAAAAAAAATAGGGGCCCTTCGGTAGCGGCCTTGTGTCCCTCCGTCCCGGGTGCAGCCGCCAGCAGGGCCCGGGCTGAGCCACTCCGCCTGCACCTCTCCGCAGATGCAGGTGTGGGACACGGCGGGGCAGGAGCGCTTCCGCACCATCACCCAGAGCTACTACCGCAGCGCGCACGCCGCCATCATCGCCTACGACCTCACGCGACGGGCCACCTTCGAGTCTGTCCCGCACTGGATTCACGAGATCGAGAAGTACGGAGCGGCGAACCTGGTCATCATGCTGATCGGTACGCTTGCTGTGTTTTCTTTCTTTCTGTTGGTTGTGGGGCTTGAACTCAGGGCCTGGGCGCTGTCCCTGCGCTCTTCAGCTCAAGGCTAGTGCTCTACCACTTGAGCCACAGCGCTACTTCGGGCTTTTTCTGCTTATGTGGTGCTAAGGAATCGAACCCAGGGCCTCATGAATGCAAGGAGAGCATTCTACCACTGAGCCTCCTTCCCAGCCCTGGTGTGCACACTTTTTAAGGGCAGATTTTGCGCCACACCAGTTTCTCATTGGGGAAGATCTGGAATGGGTGGGGACAATTCTAAGATGGAAACTCCTGCAGATGTGGGCACAGAAGCTGTGTAGACCACCCAAGAAATACTGCTGGAAGAGCCGGGCAACAGTGGCTCACGCCTGTCATCCTAGCTACTCAGAAGGCAGAGACCTGAGGATCAAAGTTCAAAGCCAGCCCGTGGAAGGAAAGTCCATGAGATCTCTTATCTCCAATTAACCACCAGAAAACCAGAAGTGGTGCTGTGACTCAAGTGGTAGAGTGCTTGTTTTGAGCTGAAGAGCTCAGGGACAGAGCCCAGGCCCAGAGTTCAAGCCCCACGACGACCACTACCACCACCAAATACTGCTGGAGTCCAAGGTTAACAGCCCCTCAGATGAACCTGACTTTGAATGACAACACACACTCTTTAATGAACATTTTTTTGGGGGGGGGTCCGGTCATGGGGCCTGAACTCTGGGCCTGGGCACTGTCCCTCAGCTCTTCAGCTCAAGGCTAGCGCTCTACCACTTGAGCCACAGTGCTACTTCCGGCTTTTTTCTTTTTGCTTATGTGGTGCTGAGGAATCGAACCCAGGGCCTCAGGCATGCAAGGCAAGCACTCTGCCACTGAGCCACCTTCCCAGCCCCCAACACACACTCTTTAAGAACCTAAGTGAGCAGGACTTCCCTCCCTTCCCCCCCCTCCCCCGCCCCCTCGCCCAGCCCAAGGCTCTTGCCTATAATCCTAACTACTCAGAAGAGGCTTAGATCTGAGGAGCTAAGAGACACAGTCTCACAGAGCTTCAAGAGTAGCTAGGATTACAGGCGTGAACCACTGGTGCCCGGCTCACTGAGCTATTTTGTTCACTGGGCTATTTTGTTCGCAGCTGGTACTGTACCACTTGAGCCATGCCTCCAGTTCTGGCTCTTTGCAGATTAACTGGAGATGGTTATCTCCAACTTTTCTGCCTGGGCTAGTCAAGTAGAGATTTGTTGATCTCCATCTGAGTGCTAGGATTGGCACCAGAGTCGTCTACCCCTCAGTTCGTTTTTGTTTGAACTCAAGAACCTCAATCTTGCTAGGCAGGTGCTGTACTACTTGAGCCACAACCCTACCCTTCCCCTCAGTTCCTACCATTCTTACAGAATTGTAAAGGCAGAGAATGACTCTTTTTCCATTCATCTGTGGCTTCATTTTAGTAAAATTGCCTTCAATTACAACTTGCATGTTATGGTATAACTTAAAAGTATGCTTTTTAAAAAATTTTAATTTTAGTTTTTGTCAAGGTGATATACAAAGCGGTTACAATTACAGGTTTTTATTTTTTAAGGTCCTGGAGACTTTATACTTGTACTCTATTGCTTTACCCACACCCCTGCCTGGCTTAAGGGTTTGTATTTTGGGCATCGTGGGGCTTGAACTCAGGGCCTGGGTGCTGTCTCTGAGGCTTTTTGCTCAAGGCTAGTGCTCTACGTTGAGCCACAGCAACACTTCTGGTTTTTGAGTGGTTAATTGGAGATAAGAGTCTCAAGAGGCCAGGCACCAGTGGCTCACACCTGTAATCCTACCTACTCAAGAGGCTAAGATCTGAGAATTGCAGCTTGAAGCCAGCCAGGCAGGAGAGTCCAGGAGACTCTTATCTCCAATTAACTACCAGAAAATCAAGAGTGGTGCTGTGGCTCAAAATGGTGGATTGTTACCAGTGAAAAAGCTCAGGGACAGCACTCAGGTCCTGAGTGCAAGCCCCACACCCAACCACCACCCCTCCAAAAAAAAACAAAAACAAAAAACAACTCTCACAGGGACTTTTCTGCTCCGGCTTTGAATCATGATCCTCAGATCTCAGCCTCCGGAATAGCTAGGATTACAGGTGGGGCCCAGCGCTGAAGTTATTTCTGAGTCAGGTTCTTTTTGCCTGGGCAGGCCTAGCAAAGGAGATCCTCTTATTTACACATCCCACTGTAACTACAAAGTAGGCACTCCCTACCAACCCCTTTTTTTCTGTTTAGATTTTTTTTTTCTTCTGTTGGGCTTCAATTGTGGGCCTGGGCAATGTCCCTCAGCTCTTCAGCTCAAGGCTTCCAGGTTTTCTGGTGGTTTATTGGAGATAAGAGTCTCATAAACTTTCCTGCCCAGGCTGGCTTTGAACTGTGATCCTCAGATCTCAGCCTCCGGAGTAGTAGTGGTAGGATTACAGGTGTAAGCCACAGGCACCCAGCTTGAGATAGAATCTTAAAACCTTTTTTACCTGGACTGGTCTGGAACCACCACCTATCCAATCTCAGCTTGCTGTATAAACGACAGGTGTATACTACCCTACTCAGCTCTTGGTAGGTATGGGGGTCTCCTTAACATTTTGCCCTTGCTGACCTTGAGCTTCAATCCTCTGGATCTCTACCTCCAGAACTGCCAGGATTGTGGGCATGAGCCATAGGTGTCTAGTTTAAAAAAAAAAAAAAAAATTTTTTTTGTTGGTTGTGGGGCCTGAACTTGGTCTGGGCGCTGTCCCTCAGCTCTTCAGTTCAAGGCTAGCACTCTACTACTTGAGCCACAGCTCTACTTCCCGCTTTTTCTGCTTATGTGGTGTTGAGGAATCGAACCCAGGGCCTCATGCGTGCAAAGCAAGCACTCTACCACTGAGCTACCTTCCCAGCCCTAAAAAATTTTTTCTTAAAGGTCATTCTGGAGAGAAAACCAGGTTACTCAGTGGGATATCTGTGTATCTTTCACCTGCAGGAAACAAGTCGGACATGTGGGAGAAACGCCACGTGCTGTTTGAGGACGCCTGCACGCTGGCAGAGAAGTATGGCCTCCTGGCAGTTTTGGAGACTTCAGCCAAGGAGTCCAAGAACATCGACGAAGTCTTTGTGCTGATGGCCAAGGAGCTGATCGCCCGCAACAGCTTGCACCTGTGCGGCGAGGGCACGCAGCCCGGCTTCCCCCAGGATTCCAGCCCCATTCTCCTGGCCCAGGCGCCCACTGAGAAGACACATTGCTCCTGTTGACTGATGTCTCCTGGGCGCAACACAGGCCGCTGAAGAGGCTTGACTCATGTCCCTAGCCCTGCAGGCCTGAATCAACAGCTCTGCAGATTGGGAACCAAGGGGACACCACCAGTAAAACCAGGAACTTTGGGTAGCGGGTGGGGCGGGGAGGGGGGGTCAAGGTTTTTTCTCCCCTTTCCCTTTTGTCTCCACTACCCCCAATTGTAATCTGATTCCTACTGGATTTTGCTTCTTTACTTGAAAATGAAGGCTAGAAAGAAAGAAAAAATAGAGGAGGGATGATGGAGACCCAGAAGATGACTGTTTTAGAATACTCTAGAACATGTTGTAGCAGCTCAGGCAGGGGGAAAAGGAAAGCCTGCAGTGAAGAACCAAACTACTGTCACCATTTTGTTTCATGATATTTTTATCTCAGGTCTTCATCTTGGAGAAGGCCTGATGACAAAAGCCCTGGAAATACTGCTTTGGGAGAGATGAGGTACCATCTGAAGGGGACAGGAATTGGACCCCACTTTGTCCTAGATGGGCTGATTCGGTCACCCTAGTTTCCCCATGAGGCTATGAGAGATGCCTACAATTTCTCCAACACACTGAATGATCTGCTGTGTTAAAGTTCAGGTCTGAATCGAAATGATATTGGCTCGTTGCTGACTAGCAAACTAATATGCATGGTTTCCTCTAGGTGTCAAGCAAGCAGCTGGCACCCCACTTCACAACTAAAACTAAAGGAGGGCTGGAGCTCAGTGGTACAACACCTATTTGCCCAGAAAGTGCAAGGCCTTCCTTGGGTGGATTCAATCCCCAGCATTGCAAAAAGAAATGATAATAAAGTGAATAAATACAAACATAATGGAGGGCTGGGTGTGGTTACGGAGACCTGCAGTCTAGCACTTGGGAGACTAGAGCAGGATCATGGCCATCTTGGCTTTACAGTGAAAGTGATCTCAAAAACAGAAAACAAAAGGCTAGAGGCATGGTTCAGGTGGTACAACGTCTGCCTTAAAGAGTAAAAAGCACCACACTGAGTTCCAAGTCTGGTTCTAAAAAAAAAAAAAAATAGCAGCTAGGCAATGGTGGCTCATGCCTGTGATCAAAATCCATGAGACTCTTTTTTGTCCAAGACTGGGACTCAAACCTCATGCCTCTTTCCCTCATTGGCTGATGCTCCAAGAGCCACTCCTCCCAACCCCATGTCCATGAGACTCATCTCCAATTAGCTACCAAATAAAATTAAAAAGCTGGAAAGTGGAAGCATGACTCAGGTGGTAGAAAGCTAGCCTTCACAAAAAAAAAAAAAAAAGGGGGGGGGTGGGGATATTGCCCAGGCCCTATGCTTGAGCCCTAGGATTGGCACAAAAGAAAAAAAAATAAAAAAAGAACATCAGCTTGCTCACCAATGGGAGGGAGAACAGCATGTGTTTAATGTAATTACAGCCGTAAACTATCACAACCTGAGAACTGTTATTCTCTCTGCATGTACCTCAGCTACCTCTGAGACCTAGTCAGCTCCTAGGACAGTGCACTGGGAGGAGGAATGATGCAGAATTCAGACCTAAAGCCTCCCCACGTTACCAGTGTGCAAACAAGGCCATCCGAGTCCCACCCACCTGTAATTAGCCAGCCTGGCCTTCCATGCCACTCCAAAAACCTTTAAGTACATACTGGAAGGGGCCCCTAAGATCTACACACTAGAGTGTGTGCACAAAGCTCAATAAGGGGCCGGGAGCTGGTGGCTCACGCCTGTAATCCTAGCTACTTAGGAGGCTGAGATCTGAGGATCACGGTTCAAAAGCCAGCCTAGGCAGGAAAGTCATGAGAGTCTTTCTCCAATGAACCACCAGAAAACCGGAACTGGCACTGTGGCTCAAATGGTAGAGCGTTAGCCTTGAGCTGAAGAGCTGAGGGACAGCGCCCAGGCCAAGTTCAAGCCATGACTGACCGAAGGGGGGGGGGGGAAAGCTCAATAAGTAGAGAAGAGGGAGAAGGAGGGAAGAGAAGGGGAAAAGAGAAGGGAAATGAGGAGGGAAAGAAGGGGAGATGGGGAGAGTAGGAGGCAGAGAGAGAGAAAGAGAGAGGGAGGGAGGGAGAGAGAGAGAGAGAGAATCCAGAGCTTGACAGGTCCCAATCTGCCTGTTGGTTTTTTTTAACTGTATTTTTTTTGTCTTTTCTGTTTTGGTACTGGGGATCAAACCCAGGACTTTGCACTTGCTGGGTAGGTGCTTTGCCGCACAGACTGGGCAGTGGGCATGGGCAGACAGGGCAGGAAGGAGATTACAGTATTATTCTCCCAACTCTCCTGTCGCATGGGAGGTGGTAACAATGGAGTTGCAGAAAATTAAATTCTGAAGGGACATTTTGCTGGAGTAAGATGATACAACAGCCTGCCATTTCATCTTGTTCACTGAGGTCTAATGTATTTCCACATGTGAGGAAATCTGTCAGCCAGTATTTCATTGTTCTCCACTCTTTCTAAATCCCTTCTCAAGATGTCACTGACAAAGTGACATGGGCAACAATGTAGCTAACTCTGGAATCTTTCAGCAGTATACTCAACCAGAATGGAGCACCAGCTATCAGCTGGCTTTTGAAGAAGGTATTACTTGTAATTTCTCTTATCTCCAATAAACCACTAGAAAACCAGAAGTGGTGCAGTGGCTCAAGTGGCAGAGTGAGTGCTCGCCTTGAGCTGAAGAGCTGAGGGACAACACCCAAGTCCAGAGTTCAAGCGCCACAACAGACAAAAAAAAAAAAAGTCTCACATACTTCCGGCCTGGGCTGGCTTTGAACTACCATCCTCAGATCTCAGCCTCCTGAGTAGCTAGGGTTACAGGTGTGAGCCACCAGTGCCCAGCTCAGAATTCTTTTATATATATATATATATATTATTGTAAAAATAGTGTACAGAGGGGTTACAGTAACGAGCAGGGTAATGAGTACATTTCCTATTGAGTATTGTTACCTCCTCCTTTGTTTTTCCCCTACCATCCTCCTTCCCTCCCCACCTCCTGAACTCCTTCCTCCTCACCCCCGACCCAAAATTGTAAATTTCGTTTTCAACATAGTGTCTTGTGCATCTCACTTACAATGGGTCAACCTGTATCCTTATTTAAGCATTTTGTTATATCCCTTCCCCTCCCCAAATTATAAAAATGTATATACAAGATGCAGGACACTGGAATCAGATACAGTGAAAACAGGGGTTATACTATGGGGTCAGAATTCATTAACAAGTGCGCTTGCACACCTACTGAGGGCTGGAGGAGGGAGCTGGTGAAAAGCTTGCCTGCTAAGGTCATGGCCTCTGATCAGATTTGGGTTCCATCGTTAACTGTGCATGTGTGCATGCACACACTACACACCACACACCACACACAGGGATCTCAATCCCCGCAATCATGCATCACAGCAGCCTCTCAAGTGCAGCTTTCTCACAGAAGGCTGGGATGTTCAGTCAGCTGGCAGATTGTCCTCCAGGCATCTAGGATAAAACAGATGCTATTACATAACCACCAGCGCCACTCCCTGGATTTAAGTCTTAGGTTTTTCTGCCCTAGTTGGTGTGTTTCTGCCATCCTCTCAATCTCAAATAGCTGGAATGGCAGGCACACATCACTTTGCCCAGCTAGGGACTGAGGATGGGTTTGGTATGCTCTTCTGCCTGGGCTGGCCTACAACTGTATTCTTCCAATTGTCAGTCTTGAAGTAGCCAGGATTACAGACGTAAGCCGTAATTGCCTGGCTTCTTTTTTCTTTGCAGAGCTGAGGATAGAACCCTGGATCTTGGACCCATTAAGCAAATGCCTATCACTGAACTACATTCTTAGCTAAATGAACTGCTAAAGTGCCCAGAATAAAGTGTATACTCAATAAATGGTAGCTATTAGAAAAATCACAAGAGCTGGGAGCCAGTGGCTCACGCCTATAATCCTAGCTACTCAGGAGGCTGAGATCTGAGGATCACAATTCAAAGTCAGCCGGGGCAGGAAAGTCCATGAGACTCTTATCTCCAATAAGCCACTAGAAAACTGGAGAGGCGCTGTGGCTCAAGCACTTGAGCCTCAGCGCCACTTTTGGCTTTTTTTTTCCTTCTGCTTATGTGGTGCTGAGGAATCGAACCCAGGGCCTCATGCATGCAAGGCAAGCGCTCTACCACTGAGCCACCTTCCCAGCCTCTACTCAAAGGTTTTTGCTATGACAAAGTAGGAGAGAAAGAACTGGAAAAAATTGTAAACAAATTGTAAACAGTGCTTCCCATGGTTTTGTTTCTCTCATACACTGGAGACTATGGGTATTTGGTTTGGGCAATTCTTCAGGAGTTTGAGTGACAGTGCTGTCACTTAATAGTGAAAACCTAGAGCTAAACTTCAACAACAGGGGACTACTAAAATTTTACATAAATTTTAAAGATAAAGCCACATTATTTTTTAATTTATAAGACTTTAATTTATTTCCCACAAAACTTAGAATAACTTTTTACACTTTTTTGGGAGGGGGTCCGGTTGTGGGGCCTGAACTCTGGGACTGGGCGCTGTCCCTCAGCTCTTCTGGTACTACCACTTGAGCCACAGCACCACTTCTGGCTTTTTCTTATGTGGTGCTGAGGAATCGAACCCAGGGCCTCATGCATGCAAGGCAAGCACTCTTAACACTGAGCCATCTTCCAAGCCCTTTACACTTTCTTTATACATAATAAAAGATAATTAAATAAATGACATGATCTAGCTAAGCACTGACAGGAACATTTAATTTTGTTCTCAGGTTTTTTTTTTGTATTGTCCAGTCATCTATTTTTTTAAATTTTTTATTGTAAAGATACTATGCAGAGGGTTACAGTTACATGAACAAGGTAATGAGTACACTTCCTCTTGAGCATTGTTACCCCCACCATTGTTTTCCCCCTACTATCCCTTTCTCCCCTACCTTCCCTGAGGTTCTTTTTTTTTTAATTGTGATTAAGTGATTACATAATTTCCCAAATTTCACAATATTGTGGAATAATGATGCTCATTTAAAGTCACAAGTTCATTCTAACTTTCCTGGAGCAAATTGTCTATCACGGTCTACATATAACGGTATACATATACACCATATATGTGATCAGCAGCATGGGGATATTTAGTAG